TGGCACAAATGAAAAGAGATGAGCAGAAAGCAGAAAAAAAGGAAAGCATTAAGTTAACCTCTTGGCAACCATTTTGCTTCTTTCGGTTGACTTACCTGGCTTCCCTTCCAGTGAACTTGACTATCCAGTTCCAGTATCCTTTCCCATTCTCTTTCACTTCCTGGTTTTCTTGCCCTCAGGTCCTCAACTTCAGAGATCTTGGTTTATGCCTCCCTAATATTGCAAGGGATGGTTTTCTTTCATCCAAAACTTGTCAGTTACAAACCACTCAATGAAAGGTTTGTTCTTTCTGAATGAATGTATTTCCACATTCCTGATGACTCGGGAGGTATCTGAATTGGCAGGATTGAAGTTAGACCTTTCCAGGAGACATCAGTCAATCAACAAGTATTTACTTACTGTTGTTCAGTTGCTCAGTTGTGTGGGACTCTTTGTGACCCCATGGACCATATTGTCCGTGGGGTTTTCTTGACTAAGATACTGGAGTGGTCTGTCATTTCTTTCTCCAGTGGAGTAAGGCAGACAGAGGTTAAATGACTTGCACAGGCTCACATAGGTGGTAAATGTCTGAGGCCATATTTTAATTCAGGTTTTCCTGACACCAAGCCCAGTGCTCCATCTACTGAGCTGCCTCGCTTCCTCAAATGTTAAAGACTCCTTATGTGCCAAGCACTGAGGGGATACAAGTTCAAAGAATAAAAAGGAGGGGTTACTTACATTCTAATGGAGAAGACAAGTATGTGTGCGTGTGTGTATTGTGTATGTGTGTGTATACACACACATATACAGCATAAATATACAGTGAATAAATATAAATATATTCAAGGTAGATTGGGAGGAGGGATACTAGCATTTGGGGGAGGGGGAATCAGGCAAGGCTTCAAGGGGTGGGTGTGGGCAGAAGATAATGCCTGAGCTGTATCCTAAAGGGAGAGAAGGACTCAGGTTGAGGTAAGGAAGGAGTGAATTCCAAACGTGGGGCATGGCTAGTGCAAAGGCAAAAAGGGGAGATGGGGGGTTCTATGTGAAAAACAGAGAAGGCCAATTTGGCTGCATCACGATGTACAAGAGAGGAGTAACATCTAAGGAAGACAGGAAGGAAGGTTGGACCAGGCTGCGTAGGACTTTAAAAGGACTTCTTTAGAATCTAGTTTAACAATTGTTACTGTCTCAAAAGTCACAATTTCCCAGACAGTGTGGGCCTGAAGCAAGGTCAGAGAAGAGAGAGCCATGGCTAACATGCATGGGCCATAATTTCCTATATCAGTCCCTTATTTTCCCCATCCATTTCTCAAGAACTGAGAATTATGTCCTTTATTTATTTTCCCTCCTTTCAAAGCACAGTGCTCTGTATACCCTAACAGTTAGGGATATGAGGGAAGGCTTCATGGTTATCTGATTTTTTTTTGGTGAGGCAATCGGGGTTAAGTGACTTGCCCAGGGCCACACTGCTAGTAAGTGTCTGAGGCCAGATTCGAACTCAGGTCCTCCTGACTCCGAGGCCAAAGCTGTATCCACTGCACCACCTAGCTGCCCCCTGAACTGAACTTTGAAGGAAGATGAAAGTGCTTAGAGGTGGAGAAGAGAAGGGCATACATTCCAGACCTGGTGAATGGCTTGTATAAACATCAGGAAATGTGAGATTGAACAAGATCTGGGAATGGCTAATATAGCATTTTGATAGGAATGTACTGTCTAGGAAAGGAAGTAGTATGAAATAAGGTTTCAAAGGTATATGAGAACCAGATTGAGGAGGGTCTTAAATGCCAGGCTAAGGATTTTGTATTTTATCTTATTGGTACTGAGGCATCACTGAAGGTTTCTGAGTAAGAGAGTAACACAGTTAGATTTGTGCCTTAAAAAGATTATTTTGGAGAATGGATTGGAAAAGAGGAAATTAGAAGCAGGGAATCCTATTAGACTATTTGATAGTTTAAGCAAGAGTTGGTAAAAGCCTAGATCGGGAGCTCTGTGAGTGGCGAGAAGGATATGATGAGGAGAGGTGCTATAGCATGAGAACTGACAAGATGTGGGAACTGACAAGATGTGATCATATATGGGGGTGAGAGAGAAGAAAAACAAATGACAAAATCAACATTCAATTTGAAGAAAAACTAAAGCGTCAAGAATTAGATTGAATTAGAACAATTAGAAGAAAACTCTGAGGTTACGAATATGTGTGCCTGGGAGGATATTGGAGCCCTCAAAAGAAATAAGGAAATTTGGAGGAGGAGTATGTTGGGGAGTGGGGATGGTGATGGTGAATTCTGTTTTTGGATATGCTGAATTTGAGATGCCTTATAGGACATCGAGGAGGAGATATCCAATGGACACTTGGTGATGTGTGACTAGAGTTCAGTAAGAAGTATAGAGATTTGTGAGTTATCTAAGTAGAAATTATCTTTGAAATGAATGAATGAAAAGCATTTATTAAGAGCTTACTGTATGCCAAGCACTGTGTTATGCTGCAGATCCAAATGCAGAAAAAAAAAACCCAAAAACAAAAGAGTCCCTTCCCTCCAAGACCTTACACTCTAATGGGGGAGACAACACATGTGGGACAGTGATGGCCCAGCAAAAGGAGTTGTGATCAGGGAAGTCCCAAAGACGGTAAATGGAACAATTTGGCAGTCAGTTAACACGTCCTTTTCAGAGGCAATAAAAATGTCGATATGATGATGGTTTTCAGAACATGAGGTGGAAAAGTGGGGTATAATGACAGAGCAGAAAATAGCAGGGGTCAAGAGGAGGCTGCATTGTCCCAGAAAGTGCCAAAATGAGTGGTCTAATTCCTCCCAGGCATGGTTTCTGTTGATTCATCTTAGAAAGTGGAGTAACAGTAGCAAAAGGGGCAGCTAGATGGAAAATTTAATGAGATTTCTTTGTGAGGAGGGAAAAAAATAGGGTTCAGAACAGAGTTGTGGTTGATATCCATACTAAGGTCATGGAAAATGGATGATAATACTCTATAGCAAAGGAGGCTGAGAAAGAGTGGTCAGTTTCATAGGAGAACCAGATGCCAAAGGAGGAGTAAATGCCCAGATGGAGGGAATGGTCACCAGTATCAAAAGCTACAGAGAGAGCAAGGAGGATGAGGACTAGGAAAAAACTGAATGGATCGGTGAGTGCCTTTGGTGGCCCACTATATCTAAACAAGTTCCAGTTATGACTCACTTGACTTCCTGGGCATCTTCTCCCCTGAGCCTTGCCTGTGGGCCCTTTCATCCACGGCATTTGCTGGCTGAATCACTTTCTAGGTTTTTTTTTTACTTCTTTGACATGGTGACTGCTTTATAACAGTTAAGCTTTTGCTAGAAATGATGATGATCAAGGTCAATATCTGCCTTTTACATTCTCATTTTTCAGCGTCAATGACTTATTTGAATAGATCCTGTTGAAGCTGTTGCAATTATATAGTGTTTTCTTGTCATCTTTAGTTTTTCTTCTAATTGGATGCTGATTTTGCCATTTGTTTTAATTCAGCAATGATCTGACCACACAGATTCTCATATGACTTCCATATCAGTAATCATTTATAGTGTCTTAATAGGATCACTTTCATTTTTTTGTGCTATTTATCAGTGCTTACCAAGTCTAGCGCCTTTATAGCCACTTTTAATTTAGTCCTAATATGCAAGTATAACTATAGGAAACTAGGTCTGTATCTTTTTAAGAAAAAAAGTTTCTTCTTCTCTTTACATGACCCACTACTTTTCCTAGAACATTACTAGATTTAGAGCAAGAATATATAGCCTCACTTTACAGACAAGAAAACTGAGGCCCAGAAGCGTTAAGTAACTTGTCTAACTTCCAATTCCATTCTGGAATGTGATCATAATGCATAAAGCTGAGACTTTTTAGTAGTCTGTAAGATATCTACCTCTTTCATTTCTCCAATGTTAGCCATATTTTCCAACATGCTTATCATCATTCTCCCCTGAACCCACCTTTGCACTGATGTCACCAGATATTAGCATATATATAATATATATATAGGTATGTATGTATTGAAACCAGTACCACCAATCACTTTGTTTCTCTAAAAGACCTCCGAACTATCCTAAAATATAGCTGAAACTTTTTGTCTTCTGGTGTTGAATATTTCTGATATTGAATATGTATGTTTTATATTCACGATGTTGAGTCATGGTGTTGCATATTCATGTGATTCAGTTTTGCTAATAATTTCTCAATTTATTGGCCCTTAGTTAAAGATCTCATATTTAATGTAGCAGCAGTTAAGTTAATGTTGTGATTTCATTGGTATGGGGAACTTCCAGATAAGGAAACTCCCTCTTTACCAATGCAGGTTAGCACCTTCTCTGTAACTTTTAATATTACAGAATTGCCTAGATAGTCAAGAAATTACTTGCCCAGGGTCACACAGTCAGTATGTGTCAGATGTTCTTCCTAGCTCTGTCAGCTAGTCAGCTCTTTATCTATTAGAGTATGCTGCTTCTACAAGTTAAAGTTTATAGATGGTCTAAAATCTGTCATTTGTAATGTCCTCAGGTGCTTTTTCTAGCATTTTAACACTATTACTACAGAAGGAGAACAAGGTGGGGAGAGGCACATAGAGCAGAGAACCAATTTTTTTTTCTTCGTTTCATAGATTACTGTGGCCAAAGAACTCAAAATCTCATGGCCGAGTCATGAACCTTTCCATGCTTGGGTTGATCCATAGCAGAATCAGTCTTTTACAAAGAGATCAGTTTTGATTTTATGTCAGGAAAAACTTCCCAATAAATAGAACTGAGTGAAAGTCAGGTGGGCTGGCTCAGGAGGTGGTGGGTCCCCCCTCTTTGGAGCACTTTAAGCAGAGACTGGAAAACCACTTATTAGATATAACACCGTAGGGATCTCCTTTGTGTGTGAGTTAGACGAGGGTACCACTCAAGTCCTTTCCAACACTCCAATTCTGTGATTCTGTGAAGGAAGCTCATCAATTACTCTATTCTGAGTTCATAGCCTTCTCTCTTCTCCCCTCCCAACCTTTATAGCCTGTCTGCTCCAAGCTGAACTGGTGAATTATGAGCGAGTCAAGGAGTATTGTCTCAAAGTTCTGAAGAAAGAAGGGGAAAATTTCAAAGCCCTCTACCGATCAGGTGTGGCTTTCTACCACCTGGGGGACTATGACAAGGCCCTCTACTACCTGAAAGAAGCGAGGTCCCGGCAACCAACAGGTAAGGCAGTAGCAACTTGTTTCTTATTGGCTAGCATAGCAGATTTTTCTGGACTCTTCTTACATTAGGTGGCCTGTTTTCAGGACTAGATAATGGAATGATAACAAGGACTAGGTTGTACCTTTAGAACTTTGTGGTATGTATATTTATAAAGGGTGGATAGAAGTTTGGGTGCCATATTAGGGATAGAGAAAGCAACTATTTAGCCCTTAAAGAGGGTTCAGTGTTCCATATCCACTGTACACCCCTCCCAACATAACAGACCAGCGCCTAAGCATCCTTGACCCTTGACCCCTGAAAAATGAGAGGTGACCCCCCCTCATTATTAATTAAAATAATTCTAGAAAAGCTAACTATAGCAATAAGACTAAAATCAAAGATATAAACATCATCAAAGAGGAGACAAAACTATCTCTGTTTTCAGATGACATGATAGTATATTTGGAAAATCCCAGAGAATCAGTGAAGAAACCTAATTGAGATGATTAGTAATGTCAACAAGATGGCAGCATACAAAATAACCCCACAAAAGATCATCTTCATTTCTATAGCACAATAGCAAAATTTAGGAGATAAGGACAAAGGACACAAAATGTCAGGGAAATAACCTATTAAGAAGCACCCAAGATTGCTATCCATACAAACTCAAAATACTCTTTACAGAAATAGTAGGAGACTTAAATAATTGGAGAGAGATAATAATAGTTAGCATTTATATAATGACACTCACTGCTTATGAATGGGCTTTGTCAATGTAATTACAATGACAATTTGTTCAGTCATTTTGAGTCATGTCTGACTATTTGTGACCCCATTCGGAGGCAAAGATACAAGAGTGATTTGCCTTTTCCTTCTCCATCTCATTCAATACATGTGAAAACTGAGCCAGGAAAACCTGAGTTCAAAGTGACAATACTAACTAATTAATTTATAGATTTAGTGCCATACCAATCAAATTATTGAAGTGATAATTTTTAGAACTAGGGGAAAAATAACAGAATTCATTTAGAAGAACAAAAGATCTGGAATGCCAAGGGAAATAAGAAAAAGAAATATGAAGTGAAGGAACATAGCATTACAAGACCTCAAGCTATATTATAAAGCAGTAGTCATCAAAATTATTTGATAAAGGTTTTTAAAATATATAAGTAAATAATAGGAACAAACTAGATAAGCAAGAGACAACAGCAATTAAAAAGAGTTTTATTGGATAAATCCAAGAACATGAATTCCCGAAAGATTCTCTTTTTGACTATGACTTCTGGGAAAAATGGAAAGCCATTTGGCAGAAATTAGATTTAGACCAAAAGCTTGTGCCATATACCATAGTAAACCCAATTTGATACATATCCTGAAAATAAAAGGTCATATCATTTCAAAAAATCAGAAGAGATCAAGATCAACTATGGCAAGGGTATGAATTCTTAACCAAACAAGTAATAGAGGTACTCATAAAAAACAAAATAGGTAAATTTTGAGTATATAAAATTTAAAAATTTTTGAATAAATAAAATTAATGAATCTATAACTAAAAGAGCCAGTGGTTGAATGGGGAAAAATTTCATCAAATATAACCAATACAGGATTAATATATAAATATCACACAAAATGATGCATACTATATAACACAGATATATAAAACCAGGAGCCATTTACAAATAGGTAAGTGGCCAAAGGCTATCAACAGTTTTCTAAATAAGAGTTGCAAACTATAAATAAGAAAAATATATGCTCCAAATGACTAATAGTCTGATTAATACAAATGAAAACAACTCTGATTTCATTATTCAAATTGGCAGAGAAGAAAAAAGATAGAAACAGTCAGTGCTGGGGAAGATATGAAGATGTAAGCACACTGATTCACAGTTGATGAAGCTGTGAAATGGTCTGCTTGTTCTTGATTTCAGTTTGCAGAATTGTGCAAGAAAAGTGACTAAGCAGGCCATACCACTTACCCCAGCAATCCCACTCTTGAGCATATACTTCAAGGAAGCTAAAGGCAAAAAAAGAGCTCCAGTGGATACCAAAAGATGCATAGTTGCACTCCGGTAGCAAAGAATTGGAGACAAAGTGGGTACCCATAATTTGGAGAATGACTGGAAAATAACTTAGTAATGAATGTATGAATGTCCTAGAATAATATATGCAATAAGAAATGAAGACAAATGTATGATTGTAATAAAATAATATTATGTGGTAAGAAATGGGGACAAAGAATTCTGAGAAAAGTGGGAAGATTTGTATGACCTGATGGGGAGCAGACAAATAGACAACAATGACTGTTATAGCAAGAAGGAAGTTGGATTCTGAGTAATGAAAAAGTCCAAATGAAGAGAATGGAGAAGTGATAATGAAGGATATTTCTCTCTTACAATAGGGATGTGGAAGAGAATATTTTATAAATATTTTATATTTTATAATTTTGTATTTTTATTTTAAATATATTTTATTTAGTTAAATATTTAAATATATGTATGTTTCATATACATATATTTTAAAATGTTATAATAATTTATAAAATTATAAGACATGGTCTCTGATTCAGATGTTTTACTTTGCTGTTTTTCTTTGGAGTGAGGGGTGAAATGACTGTGATTTTAAAATGAAAGGCATCAATAAAACATTTTTAGAAAAAGAATAAAGAGAGGTGGGACAGAATGAAGATGGGTGGCTTAGGATCAGAATTAGTTCTAAGAGATCTAGAAGGAACAGAATTTGGCCAAGTCAGTATTTGCATAGGATAAAAATCCCAACATACCGGTCCTGCTGGTCCTTCAAACCTGCTGTGAATTAGTAAACTACATGACAGGGGCCAAGACTATGGCTAAGAGGAATAGTAATCAACATGGTTGGGTTGGGTGGTGGTCAGTAATCACTAGCTGTGGCAAGGGCTGTGGCAAAGGAATGAAAGGGAAGAGAAGTTAAAGGGACAAAATGTGTCCATTTTAAGTCACTACAACTAGGATCCCTAATTAATTGTACATAGACCTGCATAGTCAATAAAGCTGTCATGGTCCCTGCCCTCTGTGAGTTTATATTTAAAGACAATTACACAGAACAATCCAAACAGACCCAGCCCAAAAAAGAAAATGTCAATATGACAAGCAGATAGGTCACAGATGTGGGAGGCAAGAAAAGAGAACACCATGAACCCAGAACAGGGCTGACTCATAGCCTTCTTTCCTTGTCTTACAGGTGAGAAGGGGGCCCTGAAAAAGTAGGCTGGGAAAATGTACACACCAATGTTATTTAGGATACCAATTAACTGGAAGCAAAATGTGTGCCCAACAATTGGAGAATGGCTGAGTAAATCAAACAGTCAACATTTAATAAGTACCAACTTTCTGCCACACACTATGCTAAGTGCTGGCCTCAAATAAATTACAATCTAGTGGGGAAGACAACATGCAAGCAAATATGTACAAAGCAAGCTATATTCAGTACAAATAGGAAATAATTAAAAGAGGAAGGCACTGGAATTAAGAGGGATCAGGGAAAGATTCTTATAGAAGGTGGAATTTTAGTTAGGACTTAAAGGAAGCCAAGAAAGTCAGTTGTCAGAGCGAAGGAGAGAGAACATTCCAGGCATGGGGAACAGCCAGAGAGAATATGCCCAGAGCTGAGAGATGGGATGTCTTGTTTGTGGAACAACCAGGAGGCCAGTGCCACCAGGTCAAAGAGTTGTTGTCATTTAGTCAATTACTTGTGTCCAACTCTTCATAGCTCCATTTGGAGTTTTCTTGGGAAAGATACAGGAGTGGTTTGCCATTTCCTTCTCCAGCTTATTTTACAGATGAAGAAACTGAGGCAAACAGGGTTAAGTGTCTTGCCCAGAGCCACACAGCTAGTAAGCGTTTGAGGCCAGATTTGAAGTCAGATCTTTCTAACGTCACGTCTAGCACTCTATCCACTGCACCACCTAGCTGCCCTAGATCAAAGAGTCTGTGTTAGGAAATAAGGTATAAGAAGACTGGAAAAGTAGGAGGGGGCTAGGGTAGAAATGGTTTTGAATCCCAAACAGAGCATTTTGTATTTGTTCCTGGAGGCAATAGAAAGTTATTGGAGTTTATTGAGTGGGGTAGGGGAGGGGAGGGTGTGTGTGTGTGTGTGTGTGTGTGTGTGTGATATGATCAGACCTTCATTTTAGGAAAATCACCTTAGTGGCTGAATGGAGAATGGATTAAAGAAGGGAGAAATTTGAGGCAGGTAGACCCATCAGCAGGCTATTGCAGTAATCAAGGCATGAGGTACTAAGCACCTGCACTACAGTCAGGGTACTGTCAGAGGAGAGAAAGAGTTGTATTCAGGAGATGTTGCAGAGGTGAAATCAACCAACTTTGGCAACGGTTTGGATACGGGGGATGAGAAATAGTGAGGAGTCCCTGATGACTAGGTTGTAAGCCTGAGGGTCTGGGAGGATGGTGTTATCCTCTACAGTAACAGGAAAGGTAAGAGGGGTGAAAAGCTTAAGGGGGGAAATAATGAGTTTCATTTTGGACAGATTGAGTTTAAGATGTCTAGTGGACATCTGCTTTAAGATGTCTGAAATGCAGTTGGAGATGCAAGACTGGAGATCAGAAGAGAGTTAGGGGCAGGAAAGACAGATTTGAGAATCATTAGCATAGAGATGGTAATTAAATCCATGGGAGCTGATGAGATCACCAAGTGAAGTCGTATAGAGAGAGAGGAGAAGAGGATCCAGGACAGAACCCTGAGGGACACCTACATTTAGAAGTCATGATCTGGAGGAGGATCCAGGAAGGAAGACTGAGAAGTTGTCAAATAAGATGGAGGAGAACCAGGAGAGAGTAGTATTTCAAAAACCTAGAAAGATAAAGAGTGTCAAGGAGGAGTGATCCAAGGCTGAAACTTGTCTGAGAGTATTCAGCCATAGGATAAGGTGGCTAGAGGTGCAAGAAAGGGGAACAGTGAAGAATTGAATTGGTTTACCAAGGAGTCAGGATGGGGAGAAGAGGAGAGAGTGGCTAGTAGAGAGAAGG